AAACGGATAGTCTCGACATTCCCATTCCAGGTTGGCAAGGCATACTCATCCCGGTCTACACACGCCGGGTCCCACTCACCCATCTCGCGATACACGTGCTTACCGCTACTAGGAAATGGGTGTTCTTCAATAAATTCTGGTTCACTCTCCTCGTTTATTGATCTATCCGTTTCCGTTTCCGAGGTACCATCTGTGAAATCGTCTTCACCGCGAATGAAATCATGATCACTTTCTTCCTCATTATCGCATTCTCTAACTGTTGAGCTTGTCCCTTCGCCAAAATTACGAACATGAGAAGTGGACGTACCCTCAACATCAGCCACTCCACCGTAAAAAGGGGCAACATCCTCAAACTGCGTAACCTCTGTAGGTGCCTGCGTAAACTGCTTCAACTCCAAATACAAATACACATAGGAGAAAGGAGGAAAATTATATATCCAATCAACAGCACTATTAGTATTCAGGTTTCCAATATTCCACGAACCATCGCGTTCGTCACTCAGTAAACTAATCTTCTCAATTATCCAACCATCTCGATGAAACCCAAAATTTTCATAAAGAATATCTACCAATTCTTTAAATGATAGCTTCTCCACAATGCTAAATGAACCATCCGGAGAGTTTTTAAAATCTGAAAAATCATATAACAACTCCTTCGGAACATTCCAATACACATTAACAAAGTATGGTCCGGTAGACGCCATTTATATCTGTTGCAAAAAACAATTGTTCCCAATTACAACAACACATAATTTCTCAAAAAATTCAATTATTCTTTTACTCAAATCAAGATAAATATTTTCAATTAATACTACAATAACAAAAAAAAAATCACCAATTTTTTTATAAAATAACTCTCCAAAACCTTAATTCTCAAAATCCAACTATACAATACAAATCATCCAATTTTTGCAAAAATTTTCAACATACACCGAAACCCATCATTCAAGAACAATGTATAATCATTTAAGACAACTATTAAATCAACAATAAATCTTTTCTAAACTATACTCATTAAAACCAACCAATATTTCTTACAAATTCATAAACAAAAAAAAAATATGTAATTACATTACATTAAAATAACAACTAACCTCTTCTTCGAATCGATTGATTGTTAAAAGTTTTTTTTTGAGATGAAGAGAAAATGGAAGGAAGTGATTTTTTTGTTTTCCTCTCGCAGAAAGAAAGAAGAAGCTGAATGTCGCGCAGTGGGGTGGAGGAGAATATTTTTTTTACTTATATTTTGTTAAAAAACGTATTTTCTGAATACGGTTTTAATTTTTTATTATATTGCAAAACGTATTTACTTTATACGTTTTAATTTAATTTAATTTTTTCTTAAAAAATTATAAATATTAAAAAAACCGTATTAATGAAATATGGTTTTTATAACCTAAATTCATAAATTTTGAATTTTTAAATCGAAATTAGGGTTTTAATAAAACGTATTTCGTAAATACGGTTTCCAATTAAAATTCGATTTACATTTTTTCGGTTATTTCGGCAAATATGTTTTTCAAATAATTAAACAAATTCAATTAAAAACTGTATTCACGGAATACGTTTTTCACTTAAAAACTGTATTCACGGAATACGTTTTTCAATTAAAAACTGTATTCACGGAATACGTTTTTCAATTAAAAACTGTATTCACGGAATACAGTTTTTCAATTAAAAACTGTATTCACGGAATACGTTTTTCACTAAAAAATTTAATTAAGAAGCCGTATTTTGTGAATACGTGCTTTTGATTTCGGTCTACCCCTTTTTTTTCTCTTTTTTTTTTGTCCACTTATTTTTCAAATTTTTTTTTAAAAATAAATTACCCCTATAAGATGAAGGTAGATAGATATAGATTGTCCTAATCATGGTGTAAGAAGGAATTAAGTACGATAAATTGGAAGTGACGGGTTTGCGCTGTTGTTGAGTCAATTTTTGTGGAGAGATCGAGAGACAGAGAATGGCGAATCGTTCTTCTTTGGTAGTGGGATCAATCTTAAAGAGCTGCAATCAGTTTACCAAATCCAAATCCAAATCCAGATCCAAATGTTCAGACAGTAGCAAAGCTCTTGCCGACGCGGAATCGAAATTGATGCAATCCGCTAATGCTCAGGTCAACGTCAGGTTCCTGGTGAGGAGCGAACCCAAGCAAACCTTCGACTTTTATGTAATCTCAACCGAAGGCAACTCTTTCAGACTATTAGACGAGGATGATGAGGATCTTCCTCGCAACTTATTGTCTGTACTCGGATTTGGAGACTACCTGTGTGACGTTCTTGGATGTTGCGGCTCATGGATTTGGTTGAAATATTTTGAATTTGGTTCCAAGGCACAGGATCTTCTGTGGGACATGGAGACGGATACGTGTAGATTCGTCTGTTCGCCCTCGGCTTTCCTAAACACTCTTGATAGCGTGTGGGCTTACGGCTTCGGGTTTGATCCTTCATCTGGGCACTATAAGCTGGTCAGATGTTGGGTGGACCGCTTTCTAGAAAGCTACGCTGAGGTGTTTACCCTGGGAACTAGTTCGTGGAAGGCCGTTCACTGTCCTTATGAAACCCACTTGAGCTTGAGTGGGTTCCTTTCTATTCACATTAATGGCTTCTACTATTGGATAGTTCGAGGGTTTAGGGACAGTTTCTCCATCATGTCGTTCGACTTTGCTAATGACCAGTTTCATGCTCTTATCCCTGTACCCAAAAAGGAAAAGTTGTGGAAGTTGATGGACGTTGCTCTAGTTGAGTTTCAGGGCTCTCTTGCGGTTATTTATTTAGAGTCCGAGGTCAATCCTTTTCTTTTTGAGATTTGGGCTTGGAATGCGCGAGGCAGCTTCTGGTCCCTTGTCTCCACATTCGATATCCCTGCAGCTGCTGCGCCTCGTAATGTGCTGAACCTCTACAACAATGATAAATTGTTTTATCAGGACACCAAAGGTGACTTGATGATTTATGATCATACTACCAGACGGCTCGAGAATTTCTGGATCCCTATCGATAGAAGAGGGGTTGCCAAGTTTTTCCCTTATGTCAAGAGCTCTGTTGCTCCTAGCTCCAGCAATTAATCTGCAGAAAATTTAGTTTAGAACTCGTATTTATTGGTTTGGTGGCATCTTCTTTGTTTGAATGTCGTGTTATATTTAGAGCATCTCCAATGCTATAAATGTGAAAGACCATTATTTTTAACACATGTCAATTAGTGATTGTAATGTTAATCCACATTAGAATAATGTTAAAAGATTAGAAATTTCAATGAAACTAGTATCTCCAATGCATCAATTTGATAAAAAGTTATTTGTATAAGTGGACCAATTAAATAATTCATTGATACAAAAAAATAAAAAATTAAAACAAATATAAAGTAAATTGATGAGTCATCATGTTTAAAATGGTGTTAGATATTAGAAAGTGAGCTCAACATTGTCAACATTAAATGACATCCACCTCATAATGAAAGAGTGTATGACAAGATGCATTGGAGAAAAAAATAGAGAAACACTTTCAAAGTTGATGATATGGATGATTTTTTATAATGTCAAAAGTTGCATTGAAGATGCTCTTATCTGGTGTGTTGGTTATTGGATTGCTCCAGCACCCTTTCTTGTTTGTGGTTTCTTTTGTTGCATTGACGTTCTATTTTGTTTATCAATTTTTATATGCTCTTTTAAATTTATTGTGATTGGAAGTTTAGTGGATTCAATTTTTTCTATGAGTAATTCTGGCTGGCAATGATACATACAGTCACGGTGGATTTAAGATCTCACATTGGATCATTTGTTCCAAGACCTCCTAGCTGGCTTGGGTTACTCTCTCTCCTCCAACCTATCTTACACATCTTAGGCCGCCTCTCTTCACATTTAGCATGATACATGTCTTCTCTCTAACCCCAGCATGGCTAAAGAGTTTTAATTATGTTGTTGGCCTTTATGTTTGTTTTGATTGGTTTATTTATTTATTTTTTTTTAACTAGAGTTAATTTTGAGAAGCAGTTTGGATTAATCTTGAGTGGAATTTTGAATTTGTAATAAAATAATATGTAAACCAATCAGGAAACCAATCATTGGTAAGATGATGAGAAGCTCCTGAATCAGGAAACCAATCACTGTCATTAGTGCCATCCCTTGTTGCATACATGGCTGTGGATTGATTGGCAGTGCTACTGTTGTCATTAAAGTTCCTTTGACTTTGATCTCTTGGGACAAAATCAGGGTTGAACCTGTTATAGCATTTATCTGCTGAGTGGTTTGTGTAACCACATATTTGGCATTGAACCCTATTTCCAGAATTTCTGCCTCCACCTCTTCCTCTCACATTTCTACCCCTTTCTCTGAAACTACCTCTACCTTTGCCCCCATAATTGTATGTTGGCTTGTTGGTTTGGGTAGCAAAATTGGCAGTAGGCATGCTAGCATTTTCAGTGAGAGCTGTTGCTGCTTCTACTCTACTTTCATAAGTTAGCAGCAAAGAAATGACATCAATCATCGTGAGACTCTCTGGTATAGCATTGATACAAACCACAACTGCATCATATTCAGATCCTAACCCACTTAAAACATGCATAACTTGATCTTGCTCTGAAATACTGTGACCTCCTGCAGCTAAAGTATCACAACAGACCTTAACTTTGTTGACATATTCCCTGATACTAAGGCTTCCCTTTTTCAAATTTTGCAGCTGAATTCTATAATGCATGGTTCTAGCTTTAGATCTAGTGGAGAAAGAAGCTTCTAGTCCTTTCCAAATGTCAGAGGAACTGTTCATACCTATCCCCGAGATCAAAATGAACTCTGATAATGAAGATAGGAGCCATGAAACAAGCAGCTGGTCTTGTCTTTGCCAGCTAATGAAATCTGGGTTCACTTGCAGGAGTCCTTCTTCTTGTCCTGGTATGAATCTGGTGGGAGGCTGTGATGTTCCATCAAGAAATCCCTCTAAGCCATAGCCTCTGACTGTAGTGAGGACTTGTTGCCTCCATAACATGTGATTTTCGTCTGTTAACTTGATGGTGATGAGCTGGTTGTGAAGGGGTATGGGTTGAAGGATGGCTGTGAGAGTATTGTTTGTGGTGGAGGAGAAAGGAGTCGCCATGGATCAAGCAGCAAGGGATTAGAGGAGCTATCCCAGCTCTGATACCATGTTGGAAGTGAAGATAATCATTTGGAAATGAGATGAAATGAAATGAAGACAATATGAGAAAGCTAGGGTTCCAAACTTGTATGAATGAAATGTTGATTTCGATCTTACGGAATTCAATGTACAACCCTCATATTTATAGCCTAAGAAGAAAGATCTATAAAGCAGAAAAGATAAAATCAACTCTATGATGAGTTGGAGATACAAACAAATAGCTAAAGAACAAAAGACCATAACAAACTAGAAGAAGACAAATTTTGAAAAGCAGTCTGTTACTAAGGAATTTCATTAGCCGTTTTCTTGTCTATTGTGCAGCATTTCTCTCACGTGCTCGACGTGTGCATGGTTGTTGTCATTTTGGTTCATCAGTCTAACACTTGTGTATGCTGCATATGCTATTTAGTATTCATCAATTAGTATTGGAGCAAGTTCTGAAAACGGACTAGTCATCGACAAATTAAGCTACTGGTTTAATGTTTCACTGTTACGATTGATGGTTGAACCGACTTGACCGTTATTTAATATTAATTTTTTAAATTTATAATATTTTATATAGTAAAAGTTATATATAAAAACTTTTAAAATTAAGTATTTAGACAATTTAAACCATTCAATACATTTGTAATACTTTTCAAAATCCAAATGAACACGCAGGACTTTTAAAAGTCTTAATCAAATACGCCATAATTTCTAAACAGGGGCATAGCCACATGGTGGCTCACCCGGGCTCTAGCTCGGTCTAGATTTTTTATTTTATCTAAATATGTAGTAGTAAAAAAAATGTTTTAGCCCATATTTTACTAATTTAATTTATGATAAAATTATTTAGTCCATATTAATTTAAATTTATTTTATATTAAACCAAAAAATTATACATATTTTTTTACATGACTCAGACTTTTTATGTATTTTTTTTGTGGTTATAGCTTACTTTTTCATTTTTTTTCTTCTTTCTTTTCATTTTTAATATTTTGTTTAAAACACGATGAATTTATATTATTTATATTACTTTGTGAAATATATCAATTATTTTTTAACTTGTAAATAAATGATACTTCAATATGTTAATATATGGTTTAATTTCATTAATTTGCGTAGCATATTCAATGAAACAACATTTGGAATTCCACAATTTAAATAAAATAGCATATAACAAGTATGTTATGGCAATATGTCTATTCACAAAAATGACATTTAGAATTTGATAATTTAATTGAAATATCATATAACAAGTATGTTGGATTAATCAGTCTAATAATAAAACGTTGATACTAAAACGTTAATTTCATAATGGTATTTGAAATAATTTATATTATTTTTATAAGTCAAATTTAAGTAGGCAAAAAGAGATTGCGCGACATTACTATTTTTTTATTTACTAAAATAATATGAGATATTTTTAATAATTTATTTTTTATTGATTTTGTAATTTATATTTAACACTTCAAAAATTATCATGCATACTTTGAATTTTCACATAACAGTAGTGATATTACTGAAGCCAAATTGAGTCGAATACGTCGTAGTCGAACTTTTGCTCGTATAATGAATGAGCAAGTTTGGCTCGAATTATTTAATAAATCGAGTGAAATCAATTAAGTTCCGCTTGTTGGAATTAATTTTTTATTTTATGTTTTATTATATGAATGAGTCCAGATTGACTTTTACGAGCCGAATTGAGTTGTACTTCCTAACAAATTGATTCTAGCAGCCTATGGTAGAAAATATTTCTGGTTGCGCCCTTGTTTCTAAAGTCTTAAAAAGTATTTAGAAATTCAAATGAATACAACCCCCTTAAAACTAAATAATAAGTAGCTTATATATATATAGGGTCGCGCTCCAGTGAGAATGACTCTTAATGCGAGAAATAAAAATTACATTGTGGTCATTGGATCAGATGATCTAATGGTAACAAAAAATCCAGTATTTATTTAGTCATTAAGGGTATTTTGGACATTTTGATTATAAATATGTGTCACAATGCCAACTAACACTCACCACACCAATGATTTAATGTCATGTGTCCATTACATATCACACAAACACCCACCTACCCACTCACCCTCTCTCACGCACTTACACACACATACATGAATAAATTAGACGCACGCACCCCACCCACCCACCCTCTCACCTTCTCACACACACTGACACACACATAAATAATTCAAAACACACACCAAAACATGCACACACCTACTCGACACACACACACCACACATATACACACACAGTGCCGGCGGAAAGACATATACACACCGCCGCCGGCGTCACACACACGCAGCCCAACCTCCCGGCCTCAGTCGTCGTCGCCGCTGCCCGCCGCCGCCGCGCCTTTGCCGCTGTCGAACACTCCTTGAAAATCTCATCCAACGTCCTCATCCGTTACGCCATCGGCGTCCTCATTCGTACGCCGTCGTCTTCTTCACAAGGAGTCCTCACACCACCGTTTGCAACCAAAAAAAAGTCAACCGTCGCCGCGGTCGGAGCCGTTGAAACACCGCCTCCGGAGCCCGCTGAATTCGACGTAGAAGTCGATGTTTGTCGACAAAACGTATGCAGACTAGCGATGCTCGTCGCTCGTGAAACTTCCGGCCGCCGCTGCGAACTCTCCGTGAGTCAGGCGGCCGGCGATGGCTCATAGGCTTCCTTGCCGGCGAGATGATAAGCTGGGACGATGCAGCAGGATGGAGTCCTGCCGCCGGTGGCGGAACGGCTGAGGATCTGGTTTTAGGGCTGAGGGCTAGTGATTGTGAATTTGATATGTTACAAGGGTTGGTTTGCAATTTTAAGATTTTTAGTTATTTACAATTAAACCATTGGGGTCAATGTGTGAATTCATAAAGATTTAACTTTATTCCAATTTAGTCCATAGGCCAAATCTGTAATTTATAGAAAATATATCAAAACACATTGTTTTGTATATATTTTTTAAACATATATATCATGTCGTATAAATAAAAAATAATATAAAATTATTATATAAAAATATTAATATCTTAATATATTTAAATATATAAATGTGTAATAAATTTGCAAATTCAAATTAGGGATGTTTATTTAATATATTTCAATTGAATTCCTTAGTCAAATGTGTAATTTATATAAAATATATAAAAAATATTATTTTTGTATATTAAATACACTTAAAAATATTATTGTTGTATATTTAATACAATTAAGTTTTATTGCACTTTATATTGCCGAATATTGCACTTTATAAAACTATATGTTGTACTTTATAAAACAACATGTTTTAAATAACCGATCGCACTTTATAGAGCCGAATATTGCACCTTATAAAACAACACGTTGCACCGTATAAAACATGTTTTAAATAATCGATCGAACTATATAAAAAATATTATTTTTTGTATTATATATATATATATATATTATTTATTTCATCAAACAACAATATAAATTATTAACTAAAAAAATTATTAATACGAAATATATTTTTTTTATTAAAAAATAATTGCACTTCGTATACACATTAGTGTTAGACTGATTGCACATTAATGCTCTCAAGATTGCACTTTAACGTTAGACGGATTGCACATTAGTGACTGTCAGATTGCACTATATCGACCGATGATCCGACCAATTAATAACTATTTAATTTTGTAAAAAATGTAGCGGTTTTTATAATGTGCGTGTAAATTCACAAAATTGTGCATATAATTTATTGTTAATGTGCAATATATTAAACTTTTGATAAATTATAATACCATTACACTATTAAAATATCATCTAATAAAATTTCTAAAATTGCACAAAAACCCCTACAAATTATCTAATTCTCACCACAAATCCCCAACACAAAAAAAATACAAATTAAAAATAAAAAATAAAAACAGAAAAACTATTTTGCTACAGGCGCACACAAACAAATACGACACACACACACACATACGGCTGCAGCCGCCCGACCGCCCACCGTCGCCCGCCCCATTTCCCGGCCGTCTTCTCCAGCCAGAGATGCCGCCGCCGTGACCTCACCACCTGGAAACAGGTCGCGGTCATCGTCGCCGACCACCATCGCACGACCTTCTTATCAGGCCAGCGTCATCGCCGCCGTTTCCGTCGCCGACTGGAAGCATGTCACAGTCACCGGCAAGCAGGTCCGTTCGACGCCGCTCGACGGCATAGTGGCCGCACCGGAATGCGGTCGTCTGTCTGACAGTGGTGCTCGACGGTCCGTCGATCTCGTAAAGGCAGATGCGAATGGCGTCGGAAGAGAGAGAGAGAGAGAGAGAGAGAGAGAGAGAGAGAGAGAGAAGAGAGTGTTGTTGGAGATAATTATGGTGGGACCCACTTATTTTATTATTTTGTGAAATTACACCACTACCTTCCAAGGTATTTATTTGTCCATGAGATGGCAATATATTTACAGTTTTGCCACTAGGTTTGACCATTATAATTTAATTTTGATTTCATCATCACCATTGATATAGTTGTCCATGATCATTCTTATTTCTCACACTAAGAGTCATTATATATATATATATATATATATGATGTGGTTCAAATGAGAACCAAGTCTTAGTGTGAGAACCGTGAGAACCGCTATTTTTAATTGTATGTAGTGCTATGATTAATTGTGTTTTAGTGCTATTTTTAACTAGGATGTATTTGATTAAAAATAGCAACAAAATTTTTATTAGCATTTATGAAAATGATAGCACCATGTAATATTAAAAATAGCATCATACACAATTAAAAATAGCATCAAATATGGTTCTCACGGTTCTCACACCAGACATAGTTTTTATTTGAACCAGCCCCTATATATATATATATATTTAAATATATTTTTTTATTTTTATTAAAATTATTTATAAATATATTATAACTTAATTAAAAAAAACTGGACCGATTCAAACCGGTCAAACTGTCCGATTTTCCCTTTTTGCAAATTCAACCGGTCGTTGACCGGTTAATTGGCAAATGGTTCATTCCAGTGAACTCAGACCGGTTTAATTGATCTCAGTCCAACCGATCAGACCAGCCGGTCCAGTTTGGTTTTTTAAACCATGAAGCTAACACAATCAATTAATTCAGAATTGACAGAGCACATAAACATAAAACGAGTCAGTCAATCCAGCTGAAGCAGAAAATATTGAAACAAAATTGAAATTATTTTGTCCTGATGAGTAAATTAAATTAAATGAGAAAAAATCAGGCAGCAAGGAGAAAAGTATCTAAAGTAAGATGAAAAACATACATTAGAAGCAGAATGCTAAAGAAAAAAGCAGTAGTGGAAACGATAAGAGATGCTAATAATTTGTTGCAGAAAATTGGGACAACGCTGCAAATTGAACACCATGCTGCTTTTGTATTTCCTTTCTTTACCAATGAATATGTTTGCCAACCCGCTCCAAGGCTTCCAACAACTACAATATCCACAATCTGCACATTTTTTTCAATAATTTTTTTTTTAAATTTTATTGCGATTTGATTTTATTGAGGTGAAATAAATCACAACATCTTAATAAAAAGAAATACTATATATTTTCAAGAAATAAGATCAAAATTGAAAAGAAAGGAATAGAAAAATATTAATTTTACCACGTCTAGGACGATGACTGTTTTCCATAGTTGACTGCCTCCGGGAATTAGCAAGACTATTAAATTATATACGCATCCAATGCAATCAACAACAACACACAACCTGTAATAATTATATCTATTAATATTAATTAATTAATTACAAAAAATACAGAAATTCTTAAAATTAAAGTATGTTTTCTCGATTCAATATATAATAGAAGAAAATCATTAAATAAAAACTTACAAGAAAGCATCCCAATCAAGGTATTTGACTGAAACAGTAGCGAATTGTGCATTGCAGACCTTTTCATGTGCTATGAACATGATAATGGCAGCTATCATAAAAGACAAAACAACTATTGCTCTCATTACAATACTTTTCATCGACTTTCCTGTAGCCATTGTGATACATGAGATTGTCAGAAAATCAAAGAAAAAGAAAAAGAGATTTTAATCGTAGATAACAAGGTTTATGAAATGGAAAAAAGAGATTTTAATCGTAGATAACAAGGTTTATGAAATGGAAAATGTTTTTTTGTTTGGTAAGAGATTGTGTATACACGTAATTCCATAATGTTACCTGATTCTTTGTGTATAAAAGGTTGTAAATCTTTATCTTTATCTAGATGTAAAAGATTGTAAATCTTTATCTAGATATAGAAATATATGTAGTCTATATTCTAAAATACGGTATTATTGAAAGTAAGTAGTATAGAATTATAAATATAAGGAAAGAAAAACAATTTACCAGCTACTATCTAATCTATAATTAAGAATAACTTTAAAATAAGGTCCAAGACTTTTGGCCTTTTAGATACCATAAACACCCCGCCAAGATAGTTAACATATTTGGATACGAAGTATATTTCTTCCACTATTTGTTCGATATATGTTCAGATTTTAAAAAAATATGTATTATCCCTCTATATATAATTATATTGAATCTGAATGACAGGTACAAAAATATAATATAATAATACAAATATATGCTTTGTGGTTGAGTGTTTACATATTTGATTACGAAGTCATTTCACGTCCTAATATGACTCTTTCACAGGTGTTGCAAAACAAGTCCCCAGAGCTTCATTTTTTACAGTTGCACACAAAGTAATTCACAGACTGCAATAAATATGTTCCCATTGGTGTGAAATTAACAAAAAACCAACATTCAAACAAGAAACGAACACAACTTTACCAACTTATCACTCTGCAAGAGAAACAACTTACAAGCTTATGTACAAAAGCAAAATTTCAGGTCACCACTGAGATGAAAAATATTACGAACATGCTAATTCTTAACCTACTTTAGGAAACTCGACAACTTCAATAAAACCAAGAACTCATCTCTATTCCAGCTTGACTCTGTCTGCCTCTAGCTGCTGCTTGTTTGGCTCGGCAGGAAAGTACTTTATGCCTACCATGTCTCCAACCTCACTAATAATCTGACCGAGATTCACAAAATTTCAGGTATAAATAAATAAAAGATAAATTACAAAAACTGCACCAGCATTTCACCTAGTTATCACCAAAAAATATCGCTTTTAGAAAATATAAATACCCCATTTAGGTTTGTTTTTACATTTGAAAAACGGCGTAATCTAAGCAAAAACAAGAAAATGCAGTATATCTTTTTCGGCAATCAACAGAATATTAGCTTTCAGATGCTTAAAGCGTGCAAAATAAGCTAATAAATTGAAAAAGAAAAAAAAAAAGTAGAGGTGGAGAAGTAACTAAAAAGGTCATCTATTGTAGGACTTTTACCTCTAAAGCTCGAAGAAGGTCTTCCCTCGAATGAGCAGCCGAGATGCAAATACGGGCACGTGCCAACAGCAAAGGGGTGGCAGGAAAAGCAACAGTCACCACAGCCAACTATATCACAGAATCAATGATTGTGTAAGAAATAAAACCTAAGCAACGGAAAACGAGAGTTCAGGGCCAATAACTATGAAAAGGCATACATTTCTCTTCAGGCATTCACGTGAAAAAGCAGGGATTTTTGCCGGATTATAGAGCATAACCGGCATGACAGGGGAATCATTGTCGCCCAGAACTTCAAAACCCATCTTCTGCAACTCGGACCTGAAGAAATTGCTGTTTTCCCGGATTTTAGCTAGCTTTTGAGCACCTGCATCGAACAAAGGTGCATGACATATGAGTAAAAAAGCCATCAAATTGAGAGTGAACATAAAACCATAAGGACATATCTAATGAATAGTTAAAAATGAAAATCCAACCTCTGCAAGAACCGTCTTCTCCAAGAACAACCTTAATGGAAGATATAATTTGCTGCGCAGCAGGTGGGGATATTGACGTGGCATAGAGATGAGCAGGACAACTGTACTTTAAGTATTCAATAAGTTCCTGAAAAAGGAGTTCATTATGGGGATTATTCATCTCACATGAGGAAGCTAGGAAGCTGTTAGTTTATCATGTGCACCAAGACACCATGTTCCAAAGACATACTAAAAGAACCTATAAGAACTTTCTTTGGAAAAAATGTTTTGTATTTCCGTGATTTAATATGCTCTGTGACTCAGTAATTAAGCAATGATGATTTAGAAAAGAGGTCGATTTTAGAAATATAAATTCAAGACAAAAGAAATAAAGAACTCATATGTTTTGCTTAGTTAGATGTCTAAGAAATGTTGAGTAGCTATGTCGCATTAAGATAATAAATTACTTGACATGGCACTTAGAAGTAAATATGTTGAATATTGATGAAAGGAACCTTAGATCCAGCAATATAGCCACCGCATGACCCAAATGATTTAGTGAAAGTTCCCATCATAATATCCACATCTGCGGTATCAACACCTAAGAGCTCACAGACACCTCTTCCAGTTTTTCCAAGAGCTCCAATGCTATGGGCCTCATCTAGATAAATGTATGCCTGTTAGGAGCGGAAATCATAAAAAGCAAAAGGCACGTCAGAATAGAGCGGAAGAAAATCCCAAATAAAATATAATAAACAAACCTCCAGAATGAAAATAATTAGAAGAATAAAACTGAGGAAAAAGAAAAAACAAACATCACAACTCAATGATCACTATGACACTTACACAATAGATGAATTCTTGAGAAATACAATGGCAAAAAGACATCTTAACAGTTTTTCAATAAAACTAAGTTTCACACAAAACATTGTCAGATGACAGTGATTATCAACCATAAGGGGGAAATAGCCTTGCCATGGATATACACCTTGTATTTCTTGCATATCGAAACAATTTCGGGCAGCTTGCAAAGTTCTCCTTCCATACTATAGATTCCCTCCACCACCACCAATATCTTTTTCCAAGGTCTGTGCGTTCTGGGCTGCCCCTCAGCAATTTGATCCTTCAGAACCTTCTCCAAATGGGACGGTGCTAAAGAAATGATGAGCAACAATCAATCCTAATATTTTTCATTCAATTATCTGGTCAACTCATGAATACTAGAGAGAGAGAGAGAGAGAAAGGGAGGGAGAGAGAGAGAGAGAGAGAGAGCAGATAGAAAAGAAAAAAAAAAGGGAAGGAAAAGGGAAAAAAAAGATAAAGAAAAAGGAAAGGGAAAGGTGAAAAGGAAAAAAGAATATGATAAACTTACTATTATGCTGAAACACTCTAACAGTGGCTCCAGATCCTCGAGCGCCATTAACTATGGAGTTATGGTTGAGAGAATCGCTGATAATTAAACTTCCCTGCATGTAGATACACATTGACTTAATGAAATTGCAAACGGTCAAAGGATATTAGTCTGACTAGTGGCATGTACCTTCCCCGTCAATACAGGAAGAATGGCAGAATTTGTTGCATAACCCATGCCAAAAACTACTGCAGCCTCCTTTCCTATGAAGTTTGCTACGCACTCCTCCAACTCGGTGTGCAATGTAGTTGTTCCTGGTCATGTAATTTCGGCCGTCAATATTAAACATCATAAGCTATAATCTCATGCATGTATATATATCTGTAGAAAAATTACCTCCATCAATCCGAGTACTGCACGTGCTTGGAGAAAATTTCTTCAAGGACTCAATTACACGAGGAGTGCAATACTCATCTGCTGATGCAAACCCTAGATAGTTATATGATCCTAAGTTGAGGCACCTTTTCACCTTGGTGGTTCGTCTGCACGAAATAGTATTGATGAGCGAGAAATTTTAAAAGAAGCTTTTACTAAAAAATGTCTGCTATTGAGAGGTAATCATTTTGTAGCATTCTATCTGCAAGTTGGGCCTCATAAAAAAGCTGAAGACAATAGTGAGCAGGCCCAGAAAGTGGTTTGGTTTTACCATGGAAGCAGTAAATAAGAATTAAGAACTACTGGAAATAGAACTTAACAAATCAAAGTAGTAGACCATCAAAATTGGACACAAGTACCTACTTTAATGTTTTGTTATTGTCATTGGAGACGCGCTCCACCAAATCAAACCAAGAATCAGGCGGGCTTGCTATTGGTCTATTAAAGCAATCCTGCCAAAAAAAAAGTGGATGTTATAGAATTTCGCACAATTGAAATTCTCCTCTTCCCAAAATTTGCATAAACTTCTCATGCTAAACATGATATTCTCAATCAGTTTTACTTTTCTCCGTCTTTCATCAGAATTAAAATTGGAGGGTGTAATATCATGAAGAAAAGCTCCTTTAATACTCGTTCCCGAACTTTCCCACTATAAGAGCATAAAACAAAATCTAGCTCCCCAAACAGCATCTCACCACAAAAGCAATCAGACATTTGAAAATTGAAAACATCTCAAATAAAAAATAAATTACAAAATCATGAACGGGTTGAAAATTTCAATCACACAAAATTGATAGAAATCAATTCAACAATTATCACATACCAAACACTTTGTTTTGTCGACAGATCATCACAAACGAAAAACATAATCAAATGTTTCAAAAATGATAAAGAATAAATTCCAATGAACAAACCTGAATTCGCAGATACAATCTCCGAATGTAGAAATCCTCCAGCCCCAAACAGATCGGCGCATAGCCCTTCCAGAATCAGAGAGCACAACAACATTACATCTCAAAATCGAATCTCACAGACTTTACATTTCAACAGCCATCCACACACACAACACGCAGAATCACAACATAACATACCTGAAGGTTGCTGTGGGCCCACCAGTCTACAATCTTGCGGAAAAAGTCGCGCAGCTGGCCGAATGCAAAGAGGAGGCCATAGCTGAAGTAGGTGGTCAGGGCGGTGAGATAGGGGATCGTGATCATCTTGGAAACGCCGGCGATCTGGTCTGGGGGCGGCGGCGGAAGGAGGATCAGCGCCTCCTTGGATGAGATCCCGATATAGGGAGAGAGTCTGCTAGAGAGAGAAAATGGGAGAGGAGGAACAAGAAGAATGGAGGGAGAGGATTGAATTTGACCAGTACCTCTCTCTATTTACCCAATTATTTGTTTGGTTATTTATTTTATTTTGGTTCGTTTTTTCACAGATTTTCGGAAATTTCTGGTTTTTGGTGATGTATTTCCTATGCGATGGTCAAGTTTGAGGCTTTAAACTTGAGGCTATAAAGTTTAAAACTTGGAGACAAATTTATCAAAAAAAAAATCAATTATTTTTAACTCATTATTTCTTTTAACTCAAATTTAACTTAACTTTAATTCAACTCTTCACTGTCCTTAATATTTACGCGATGGTCAAGTTCGAGGCTATAAAGTTTAAAAATTGGATACAAATTTATCAACAAAAAAAAACAATTATTTTTAACTCATTATTTCTTTTAACTCAAATCAAATTTAACTTTAATTCAACTTTTCATTGTCCTTAATATTATCAATATAATTAAATAATATCAATCAATCATTTTTACATATTACATCTGTTGTAGCACAAATTGTTATTTTTTCCAGAGTAGAATCGAAAAATTCGAACACCGGGTCGTGTCTCACGAGGAAGGCTAGCCGGAATATTTTGTACGTTTATTCAATCACTAATAAAAGAAATAAAATTCCTAAACATTCTAAATTAAATATTGGTTTTGGTTTAATTATCAACTACTCCGAAAATTCAAATTAAGCAATAAAAAAATAGCAAGTAACGAAGAACAATTAGGCTTTGAGAAGCTAGGAAGTCGGGTCGATCCGTTTTGGTTCGAATTGCAATTAATGGGCAAGTGATTGTTCAGCTAAGTGATTTGACTAATCGACACGTTCAAGTACTCATTCTCAATAACTTTTCGTAACAAGAGAACAAACTAGAACGGCAAATTAACAATTCATTTAACTCCTAGGCAATACAATTACGAACAAGCCTAGTTCATACGAGCCTATTTCAACCGACTCCTCCCTTTCGATTCTAAGAGTCGATTAAAGTTGACTAGAGGGTGGTTAACCGACTAATCAAATAGATTCACCAAATTCAATTGAAACAATTGCAAGTTGAAGTGTCACCCTTCAACAATTATCAATACTCAAGCCTGACAGTTGAAAACCCCTAATAAAAGATTAACTCGCACAAATTGAACAATCACGAATATTATAATTGCAAACGAATTCAAAGCATCAATCCCCTATGCCTAGCATAAGGATTTAACTACTTATAATCAATTCAACATCAACAATAATCTCAATCAAAGAACTCATATTTAACGATAAAGTTAAAAGAGAAATCATACGATTGATAAATCTCGAAGTTGAATGTGATAAACAGGCTTGAATCCGAAAGCAATACTGAAATCCAAGTTTAAATCTGTGTTCTACATTGAAAAAGATGAAGAAAAATAAAAAGAACGAGCGAAAGAGAGACGAGTAGGGTTTTTTTTTTTGTGTTCGTCGAATCAGAGATAGATTTAAGTCGCGATCCCGATCATATATATATAGAGGAGCAGATTCCTCGCCGTAAAGGACGTGCCACGGCGTGAAAACTAGCAGCTGCCGTGAGAGGAACTGGTGCTGCGGCGTGCTGGTGTACCGCGGTGTGATGACCTATGGTGCTGCCTTCTCTGGCCAAGCATGGGAGGCACTGCGACAAGAGCCGCGGCGTGAAGAGTTCCGAGTGCGCGGGGACTTGGGCGTGGCAACCTGGGAACTGCTTGCTTCAACTGCACGAATTTGCAACTCAGGTTCGTTCGGGCCCGTCTAGTATCAGAACTTGATTCCGTTTTTTCCTGTGTATTGCCAATGAAATGCTCTACCCACTTGTGTTCACCCGGTCCACTTATCATAAAAAATAAATTCTCCCGAACCTTCCATCCTGCACACCAAAGACGAGAAGAACTAGAAAAAATACCCGAGAAACACATGGAAAACCAAGATAAAACAAGACGCGCAATAAACTATAAAAACGTTAAAATTAACTATAATTAAAAAAATAATCAAAAACCAATTAAATCCATATACAATCATACCAATGCTTGGTTATAAAACATTTTGATTTCGTTTGGATTTTTTGATTTGGTATGATTAATTTTGAAAAATGTGGTAGGGTTAGTTGTTAGTGGGGATTTGAGTTTATATTAAAGTAATATATAGAATAAAAGAATTAAAATTGATTTGATGTAAAAGTAAGAAAAAAATGATGTAAAGTGACAGTTAGTTAAAATCATGTGAATGAATGAATAGTGAATCAAGATTGATGTTGTTTGTCCCATTTTTATTGCATTTTTCGTTATTGTCTTGTCATTCTTTTTCCCCGTTTTAGGTCTTTTCATTAGTTTTTATTAACTTCATGATGAGGGAAAAAGGTGTCCTTTCACAATCTATATATATATATATATAATTGCTAGCCTTTCATTTAATTTTACCTCATAAATAAAACCTAATAAATTTTACCTAATAAATAATACAAATTTTCCAAATACAAAAACCGTTACTTTTACAAAATACATCAATTTTGGACAGTTACAAAATCTAAACTAATGACCACTATTTTATCTAAGTATATCAATTTAGGTTAATTAGCTAAAAATGCTTACTTTTCTAATTTCTTATATAATCATTACTATGCTAACTTAATTACGAATTATTTTTTATAGAAACTCATGATTACATAAGCATGTATTCAGAATATAAATTTTTAAAAAACTTTTTATAAATGTTTATTTGGAATATCTATTGTTTTTTATGATATCACTACAATAATTAATCATGGTGAAAATGGAAAATACAGCACATGTACAACATGGACAAATACACTAACAACAATACAAAATAATTTCACCACATCTGGAAATTGTATCATATAATAGTTATTATTACAATTAATAATTATATTTTACACTAAATGATATGTGAAAGTTACATAAACATAAGAAACTATATTATAAAAACTTTTTGTTCGAGTAATTTATTATAAAATTAATATAATATTTCTTTATCTGCTTAAGCGATTATTTTTTAAATAAATTAATTTTTTTAATGGCATAGTAAAATTTCTTAAAATCGCATAAGCAATTGTTATAATAATTTTAATATTTTTTAGCTAACTAATTAGTCATAGTCCCTTAAAATTTCAAAAAATATATTATTTATTTTATTTTATGCAATCAATATAGTGATTCATATACAATAAAATCGTTATGTACTATTTACTTTAACCAATGATCAAATTTTAAAATATAATATCTTTATCTAACTTATAATTTTAATATCATATGCATAAATATAACTTATAATACCATATGTTTAAAATATAATATCATTATCTAACTTATAATTTAAATATTATATGCATACAAATAACTTATAATATTTTATTTACATCTATGCAAATGCACATGATCGAATATTNAAAAATTCCATTATCATCACATGTAAGAAGAACATTACAACAAAAGTTGTCATTTTATTCTCCGTGGAAACAAATTGCAGGGGTCCCCACACAAAAAGACCCATAGGCCATAATGCATAGACAGGCGATTCCACGGTGTTTGATTTTCTTAAACCGAATGAGCGAACCTAACTGGAAAGGAACAATAGCCAACCATTATTGAATGGAGTACTTTCATATTTAAACTTATTTTGGCACATAAAAATGGGAGAAAAAAACACAAGGCAACATTAAATGAATAAAATCTTCGCCGGCCTACCCATCTACATTTCAAGGGGTAGGACTCTCACATTGGTGCTACCAACAATTTTATTTTTGTTATTTGTCATATTAGATATTTTATCATGTTAATTGTTTTAACTTATCAAATAAATTATCTATTCTTTCAGGCATACTTGTCAGAGAATCTGAAACAGATTGTCTACTTGGTTCTTTTAGGATTAAAGAAATTTTTTAACTCGCATAAATTTTTTATTTTCTATTAGGCTCCGTTTGTTTTGAGGGATTTGTAATCTGTAGATTTCAAATTTACAAGTTCAAATACTCATCCATGTTGGGATGATAATGGAAGTTGGAAGATTTCAAATTCATGCTAGATATTTTTTAGTCATTATTTTGAAGTATTTGAAATGACTCCTCAAACCTAGTCATTTGAAGTCCACTGTTTATCACCGTTGACGACCATGCCGTCCGCGATCATTTAAGTTCATCACCACCGCGAGTCAACACTATTGATGCGAGCTAGACAATTTTTTTGTAATATTTTCAATACATCCATTCAAGGATGTGCAATTACAAAAATTTATATTTTAAAAATTTTAAAATCAAGGGATTTCAAATTCCTCAATACAAACGAGCCTTAGAATTTTTCTTCTAGCTATATCAATAGCCCAATGTTTTTCTAGAAGTGCTAATTAACAGAAAATTGTTTCTTCTACTGAGTCTGAAAAGATATCTTCTAGTTCAATATAAGATTCTTTCTTATAATATATACTATGATGACTATTAGTCAACACATAACTTATAACATATGTAACACTAAAGACTTTGTCTACAGGGTTCATTAAATTGTCTCTTTCAAAATGATGAATGAAGATAAGGTTTTATCTAAATTTGCAGTTTGGATAAACATTCCGAATTTATAATAACCGTGAAGATGAACTTACCATAGGCAAGATTTCCTCTTGCTGCACCTAATATGCAATCTTTTTTATCATTAATTATATCATCAATTAATGTCATTTTTATAGGAATATCAATCCCTTCTTGAAACTCAACTTTAAAAAAAAATTATTGCTCCTAGATGAATTGTTTAATTTTTATTTCTTATAGAAGATGGAATGTTCTCCAAATTTCTTCGTATTTTTGCTTTAGTAATCAAAGGCAGTATATTGTTCCTTTAACATCTCTTATGTCTACATGCAATTCTTGCGTGTCAACAAAATAAAAGCTCTCAATTTGTTTTAAAGAAATTTAACATTGGAATGTTAAAAATTTCTTCCTTTTTGAGATTTAACTTGAATTTTTGAATTTTTGTCAAAACATCATGTTTTATTGCTAAACTAGCTTTAAAACCTTTTCATTTTCATTAAATGAAATTTGTGAAAGATCACTATTAAGACATAGATTTGTTCTATATCTCTGCTTCATTATCCCTGTTGGAATTCATATTCCAAATAGGTTTTTCAGCTGTCTCCACCTTAAGATGGGATCACGAATATTGGTATTCCTCATTCTGAATTTTAATTACGTATAGGAAAATGAATTCAAAAAATATTGATCAGAATATCTATTATCCAACAGGATTTTTCTTTGATACCAGACTCTGATACCAAGATTTTTAGGCGAGTTGATTCCCATGCAGAATTTGTACATATTCAAGAACATGTTAAAGATTGCAATTAAGCAATTATTCAAAAGTAATGAACTGATAATTTAACTTAGAGTTTTTTAAAAGACTAAGCACTTAAAGTAGATGCTTGTTTTTCTGCTTTCCTTATCGACTTCTTAATTGCGGTAATTAAGGAGATTATTTCATTACACCTTAGGAAATAGGCTCTAGTAGTTGCTTGTTGAACATCTGCCCGTGCATGTTTGTAGTTTTTAGCCGAGTGCAGAATAAATCCCGACCTCTGGTTGTTTCTCTCGAGGAAGTTGTTCGGAGCATCGTTCACTATGTAGTCGTCAATTCACATAACTGAAAACAAGGTCCTAAACATGCTACTCGCTAGATTGAGGGTTTGAATTGAGCTAATTGTAACTACGAATTGAAAGCAAGGGAATAAAGATGCAAGATTTAGAGAAAAGATTGGAACTTTGGTTGCACGGAGTATCCATAACTCAAGAAAATGAAAATAAACAAGAGAAAACATGCGAGCAAAGTGATCTTAGATAATCTAACACAAGCTTTCTACACTAAATAATCACGCTTTTAGCAAAGTCGAGACCTTTACACAAGATAATGACGTATGGAATTCCTAACACACTTATGCTGGGGTACATAAAGGTAACGACAAGTCGAGCTAGAACCCTTGGATATCCTGCTGGAAACTCGACCTGTAGGCATGACTGGTCGTACGATCGACCAGAGAGGACATCACTTAGTCTCAAAGCAGACAACATTCTACTTCAGTGGATGTCGAGTTAGTTGCACCATTAGGCAGTCTAATAAGAAAGACTAAAGATAAGAAGGAATCTTATGGGGTTAAGAGTAGTACGTGGATAGGGCCACGTGGCCTAATAGAATTGGGTAGTTCGGGCAGCTTGGGTTGTACTATCGGGCAGCTCGTGCAGTTCAAGCAGCCCATCCGAGCAGTGTGCAACAAGGTATTTTCTCCTTATATAAGGGAATGGGATATGCCTATTATCACATTGCATTCTCCATTATTCCATATATTATTTACTGCACTTTATCTTTTACAAATGCTCATTTAAGCATTTAAGCGTTAGTATTTCCATNTTTTTTTTTTTCGTTATTTTCTATATAGCTATTAGGATGATAAGGGTAATTGAATTTGCACTAGACGAGTGAATCAAGTACGTGCTCTCAAGAATGGGATTTTGCACTTTCGTCGTTATTGTTTTTGTTCACTTGTTACTATTTACAGTTCTTTTGGTTCGGTTCACGAGCCGGTTTTTCGAGCCAGGTTTTGCAAATTTTGAACCTACGGTTCTTATATATTACCTGAATTTCTCCAATTTTTTGTTGGTTATGTTCTAATTAAATCAGCAACCATCATAACAACTAGTATTCGGCCTGTGCATTTGCACAGATATATAAATAAAATATTGCGAGTTATTTGTATGCATATAATGATTAATGATTTTTGCTAAATTTACAATTAAATGAGCTGAAATCTTTATTTTTTAAAAATACGTTTTTCATATTGGATGTAATGTATATTTTGGTATGTATCTTTTGTTGTGAATTATTTGTTATTTATTTAGGAATTTCAAATAAGTTTTTTATTTCCAAAAGAAGTTAATTTAACTGTAACCACAACAATAACATCTACTCAAGTTAAATAGTCAACACATTATATGGTCAACCGTAAGTAAATAAAAAATTTAAAATAATTTTTGTAATTTTGAAGTGATTAGTGTTTTGATATCTAATAATTAAATGAGAGGTTAAATAAATAAGAAATAACAATTTTTCGATGAAAAAAACTATATTGCCACATAGGTATAATTTAATAAGTTTTATTAAATACTAATGAGCCAGCAATTATACATATATATATATATATATATTTAGGGTAATGAGATTTGCAAAAAATATTGGATATTTAATATTTAGTTTTTATTACAGTTATGAAATGAGAAAGAATATGGCATAGTTGATTTGACCGACTATAAATAATATTTATTTTTTATGAGTGATGAGATTTGCAAAAAATATGAGATATTTAATATTTAATTATTATTAAAGTTATGATATAAGAAAAAAATATGGGATGTTGATGCTTGGAATTTATATAAAGAATTTTTTAAAATTTTGGATTCCCGCATCTTTTTTTCAGATTTTCGCCTCCTATTCAGATAATTTCGAAACAGTAATTATCTCAACTTTTGGAATTGTAATTGGATAATTATAATTAATTTTTTTAGTTGATCTTTAATTTTGTTATTTTTGCAGGAATTGACCGGAGATGGAGCATCTGATTTTTTATTTTATTTTAAATTTATTTTTTTGGTTAGTTGTATTTGTTAATAATTAATTTTTTATTTATTTTCATTAATTTCGTTTAGTTTACTATGCATAGAAAAAATAATTTCGATTAAAAAAATAATTAATGAGAACTGTTGAGAGTAATTAATATGTTTAAAAAAATATGGAAACATTTTCATTTTCATTAACTCGTTATAATTGCAGAATTAATTGGTTGTCATTTTTAAAACACTCAACTTTTCAAGAAAATTGAGTTGTTTTTAATAAAGAAAATAAAAAATAAAAACAAATGAAAAGTAACGGAAATTGGCGGGAAAATGCCACCTAGGTATAATTTATGAGGTTTAATTAAATGCAGAAGAGCTAGTAATTATATATATATAGATTTTAGTAGCATAAGTGTTTCACGCTCATTTATAGTCTATTTTCTTGGCAGACTTTACTAATAATTTATGATTATTGTGTGAAATTGATTATCAACCATTATGGGACACAGAGTTATTAGTATTGCGCGCAGATTATATTTTTTTAGGCTAACTTTCGGATCTAGGAATTTTAAGAATCATTATTTTTATAATAATAATAATAATACATCAATTGTATAAATAAATAAATACACCGGTTTCACTTCAAAATATTGTTGGAAGAACAAATTATGAATTTCTAATTGCGAAGTTGAGAAAATAGCACAGCTACAGGCCAGAAAAAATTTATCCGGGACAAGCTTCAATTAAGTAAACAAAACCTTTAGAAAACTAATTCACCCGAAATGAATTTTCCATTTTCATAAGCTAAGTAAATAAAACTTGACAAACTTTTAATTAAAAAAAAAAAAATGGAAAAAACTCTTACTAATTAATTGAATGGGTATTTTATTTTATGACGAAACAAATGTCAATTCTACAATTTGCCGAATAACTGTGTATTCACATAAATTTACACGTACAGGTCGAGATGACCCATCTGTAAAGCATCTTAAGGAATATAAGTACAGATATGTACGGATGAACTGAACTAGTGAATCATCTAACCGAACATCTTCTCTGTTATTGGCTTATGTCGAAATACTTAGGGTTCGAAGGGTAATCATATTCCACTTGCATCTGCATTATCACATGAAAAAATGACTACCACTTGAACAGAAGTGAATGATCAAGAAGACTATATCTAATTCCAAGGAAAAAACTGCAGCTTTTATCTGACTAAAACCATTAGAAATCAAATGCCCCTTCAAGATTCATTTGTTTACCAAACACACCACTCAAACATGGGGTTCGTTTAATAGAGAACAAAAATGTGGAGGGAATATTTGCAATTTTGAGAAACAACTATGCCTTTTCTACAATTTACGGAACTACTGAGACTATGTTTGGTAAGCATATAAGCTAGCTTATAGCTTCTTTGATTAGCTTATAACCTTCCTGTATTCAAATAAGTTTGGTTTGGTAGGACGAGTTTTTTTAAAAAAGCTCGAGCTTTTCAAATAAGTCCATTGAAATGTTCATTTCAGCTAGTTTATCAGCTAATTTTACCAAATACTTTTATCATATAAGCTAGTTTTTCAGCCATAAGTCATAAGCTATAAGCTCGAAATTCACATAAAAGCTATAAGTTAGCTTATGAGTTACGTTTACCAAATACAGCCCAACTTATAAACCAAGTAGAACACAATAACATAAGTTTGCACATACCTTGCCTTCGTCTGAATCTGAATGGCGCTGAGGGAAAACCACTCTCATGTCATTATACAAGTAAAAACGGCGTCGATCTTCACAATCTATGTTGTTATTTGAAGGCATAGAGTTCGGGCCCGATTGGTACTTTAGGCCCGTTTTTGAGCACCTTTTGCTGTGTGGGCACACAAAGCGGAGGTGAAGGGCATAACGTAGAACACCTGAACCTGTGGTGCTCTTGTTAACCTTGGACGGGAAATTTATGGAGTTACCTTCTTTTAGATTGAATGTGATGCCGTTTGTACCATTACTATCAGAACATAAAGTTTCATGTGATGTTGAAAGTGGGGACTCATTGTTTCTTGCACAAGAATCTTTGTGTCCACCTAAAGTGGCCCTTTGGCGAAGAAAGGTCTGATAAGTCCAAACATATAAGCATGTGAGGTTTTTTTATTTACAGTCGGTTGTAAAATAATACAACTCACTGAATAACTAGCATCTTGTATAATAATTCTGGATTGAAATATGTTAGTAGTTCTTGTATTATGAAGATAAAAAATACATATAGTTGGAGGGAAAAAGGAACACCAATCTAAATCGGTTCAATAACAAGTCGATAAAATGAATGGATGAAGAGATTGAGACTTACTGTATTAAGGAATTAAGCAGTGGATTTCATGAAGAGGTTGAATAGTTGGATCAACTTAAAGGAGATTTAAACTGACCTTTGTACCAGCTGGCATATCAGTCAAATCATAGTTGCAAAAGAAAGTGTGGATTGGTGTTCTTTCGGGATTGCTTAGGATCTGTTATAGAAAATTATTAGTCACCAAGGAGTTGTTATTGACAAACAGAGTCAAACTGAAATTTAGTGCATGGAATGTTATCAATTTGACTCCAAGATTAATGATAGCAAAAGCATTCAGCCTAGAATAAGATGTGAAACTTGACATACGCCAGATGGAGCCATCATCCTCCAGTCGAATGGCAATTTAATAAATCTGAAGCTACTTAATTGAAGAAATCATCAATTGAGAACCAAAATCTGAAGGGACTATATTTTCACTCCACAAAACCCATAATAAAAACCACTCCAAACAATCCAAAAGAACAATATATACCTATGTCTACATAAGGATGCTTCATGATCTAATTAAGCTACACTATCTTGATCAAGTCTACCTTGCACGTCAAATTGTCTGTTCATAACAATAGCTCGAAATTCAATAAGAATTATACGAATCCAATCAAAAGTCCAGGTAAAGAAAATAATGGGCTGATACATGATACATTTACCTTTCTCCTGATTCATACATGTTATGTTCACCTCATCAACTTCACCACAAAAGGCCAGTCAATTCGGACAAAAATTGCACATGCACACTGAAGAAATAGTACATGAACATAATAGGAACATCTAATGCACATAATCACGGCTCAGAACACGAATCCCAATTCAGAAGAACAACTGGATGCATAAATTATGAACGAACTAACATTGGTGTTATTTTGTAGGGGCAAAGATAAAAGGACAGTCGGAGAGAGAATACCAATTGCAGCCGCCCTTTCATAGGTATTCTAAGACGGCCTTTCTCGTCCGAGGAGCCGTTAACACTGAGACTTCTCTTTAATTTTGGACCTTCACATTTGTTTGAAGACACGCTTCTGGACAAATCTATAGACGAGTAGTACAATAAGCAATTATCACCATCCACACTCGTTACGGTAAATGGAAGCTTCTGTGGGTGAGGTGCAAATTTTCCTCCAGTGATATTCAACACAGCCAAGAAACCATCGATTTTCTGCAGAAAAAACGATATGCCCGAAAAAGAAATGGTTGTAAGTCGTTTGAACCACATTCAAGTACTGAAAATAAAGAGGATCTTAATTGAGAATTTGAAATGTACAAAAATATAATTAAAAAAAGGGCACCTGGCTGACTATCCCTGAAGCTAATCTACCAGATAACAGTGACTCCTCAAACGAACCAACTAAAGACCTTCTAACAGATAATCCACTCAAAGATCTGCCTAATTTGACACTTTGGCTCGTAAGTGTTGGATTATGACCTTGAACGGATATCAACTGATCCAAGTTCGTCGGGAAATTCTCATCCTCAAGTCCTTTCCTTAAAATGACTCCATTTTCGACTTCACAAGAAGAAAGCAAGCCTGAAACAGTCACCTCCAGGGATCTCTCCACATCCTTAAAAGTTATACTCTCGTCAAACTCAAGTTCTCTATAATCTCTTGTCCTCCCACAAAATCTCGGCCCAAGAGGAGATAGAGACAGTGGTGGCGAAACAACTGTGTCCCGTAATAATAATATATTTCCTGAGCTATTATTATTATTCAGGGAGGGCTGAAGTGTTCCACTACAGCACGCCATACCGTAAAACGCTGAGCCATTATCGAACAAAGGTCCGTCTGTGGTTAGATGCAAATTGGTTCCAATGTGAGCCTTTTTACACTCTTTCAGATTCGAACCTAAACTACTATGGTTTAACAAGTTCCCAATTTCAAGAGGTTCGCCTCTAAACTCGTCTAGCAACAACATGCCATTCAAAGGAGACAACAGTCGTTTTCTGACGAATGAACTTGAATTCTCGTTCGATGTGCCATTTCCAAAAGACAGGCTGTTGGGTTGTTTGTTTTGGCCCTCGTTTGGCTCGAAACCCACAATTCTTGAAACGGGAGTGTGAACGTTATTCACACCATGATGAGCCGAAAAGTGGTTTGTGCCTATGGAGTCAATTCTCAATTTATGCATATTTCCAACACTATCCTTATGCAAACTGATTAAATCGGATTCTTGTGCATGCCATTCTCTCGGCCCAGCAAACTGAGAGGGTACATGCATCATCAATGTGGATGCTGAGACTTCTTCAGATAAATTTCCTGAGGAAATTTGAGGCAGACCCATGTGCCTAAAATTAGCACTTAATCGGTTTTTGTTTCTTCTAAAAGTTTACGACTCAAAGCACAAACTACGCAGGGTTATTGGAAGAGTGAATTAGGTGAAGTAAAGAACCAAAGTTATTTCTTCACTAAAGTTTATCAAGATCGACATTGTATTTTGATGCACATTTCAAAATTTCAAGAATGTGACCCTTTATTTTGTAATGGACAAAGTGCTGTTTATCCATCATCAGTACACAGGGGAGACATTCCAGCTGGAGACCCTTCAGACAAGCCAGCAGCCAAACTCAAACACAATGCGAAATAAGAAGCAGAAAATGTAGCATAATAAGCATTGCCTTCTCGGTCATACAACGAGAAAAACCAGGAAATCATTTATTCACCCGGCAAGATTGCAATCAATCCTGAGAAATGAAATTCCAGAGCATTGGTTGATCATGCAAAGTAGATAAAATAATAATAATAATAATAATAATAAAATCAATATGAAACAAACACAAACAGTGCAAAGATGCATACAGATACTATGTAAAAAAATAAAGAAAAAAAAATCAAAGTTCAGCATCACTATCAAAGTAGTTCCAATCAAAAATTTTCAGTCTTCGTGATAAAGGTCTTGATCATAAGCAAGCTCGCAGGATTTGCTAAGTAACATCAATAAAAAAAAGAAAGAAAAAAAAGGAAAACAAAGACCCGCAATCGCCTCAAGGTAATTTGGATAGAAACATTGTCTTGACTTCTAATTACCACCAAAATTCATATTTGAAGAAAATCAAAGGGACCCATGAAAATTTCTGCGCTCAAAACTGCAACAATCAGAAAGACATCAGCAATTCATCTTCATCCCAATATTAATCAACATTCTTTCACAATGAAAGACAACGCAAAAAACGCATAAACCCACATAATCAGTCCACAAAAAAACGTCTGAAATTCAAGAGGAACTGATGGGATTAGCATCAAAAGGCACCAGATGGTAACCAGTTAAAAGAAAAAAGAACATTTAAAAGATATTCAATATATCCTGAAAAACCCACCAGTGAAGAACTTCTTCTGAATATCAACTATCTCAAAAATACAAAAATTTATCAGCACTGAGTTATTCTTTCCTGCACGTAAACGGTAAGTTATTGGGTTTATTATATTGGGATTCAACCTTGCAATGACTATATTTTGTTAGCGGCCACTCGCATCTATGCTTCTCTATCCTCCTATTCTCCTTTGATGTCTCTATTTTTGGGTGAGTAAAAATTTTCTGAGGCCTTCATCTTCAAGATATTCAACCCATTTTTAGTGAAATGGTAATAAATAGTTGGACAATTTAGATTTACAAAATTTATTTTTGGATATTGTAAATGAAAATGTATTAGACATCATATTTTAAGTTTATAAAAATAATAAATTTGTAATGAAGTATACATATT